TTGAAGGTGAAAGGCCCCGTGGGTTTTTTCAGAAATCGAGACGGCTAACCCATCGGGGGGAGTTCAGTGGTTTCCTAACGATTCCATCCAGAACAAAACAGAATATTGCTTTCCAGTCTCATAGGAACTGCAGTTGCATTATATGTATAATCCAAGAGGAGATACGCAAATTTCAAAAAACCATTTTGAAAGGACCGGAATCTCGTTCTCTTGTTCTGTGGGGTTAATCTATCAGGCTAAACGTGACGATAAAGAGATTATGTTGACCTAGGGTTTCGGCTCCATGGAAATGCCACATCGCTGAAAAGCGGTGTCAAAGCGCGTTTTTAAGGTCCATTATCTGTTGAAATAAACATCGCACCATAAAGCTGGATAGACTGTACGGGGAATCATTTTGTGTGAATAATTTCTAATAGATAAGGGAGAAAAGTCAGATAAAGACGCGAAGTTTAAGCTTGTTGCTCTCAGAAGCATTCTTCCCTTCAAGTGAGGTGGAACTCATTCCTGGTGAGGTGCCGCCATCTGCTGGACGTATTTTGTAGTATTTCTTGCATACATTACATTTGACTGGCGCCTTTATCCAAAACGACTCACAATAAGTGCGTTAGACTAGGAAAATACAATCAAAAACAAAACAGGATCATTAAAATATATCTGGGTTTATAGCCAAAACATTTCAAGTGCTACTCAACTGCCTTTCGATAAGCCAGTCCGTTGTTAGTAGGCTATCATAAGTGCTTCTGTTAGTACTTCTTGGTTAATATAATATATATATATATATATTAATATATATCATTCGAAGTGGAGGGGTAATACTTGAGTTTTAACACTCAAAATAGTTACACATTTGGATTAAGGGCAGGGCAGTTACATAAATACATTAACTACGTTAGGAGTAACGACAAGTATTGTCCATTATATTAATAAATACCACTGAACACATAGCAAGCTAGTCAGATAAATACGATACAATCACTATGGATGGACAGTTTAAAAAAAAAAATGATTTACACGTCCCAATTCCCGGAAGTTTCCGAGAGCAATGGGGACAAGCTGAGAGATTGATTCTCAGTGGACTCAAACAGGGAAGACATGGGGAGGCAAACTCTCAGCAGTGCTGTAAATGACATGTGCACTGTACAAAAGGCTGGCTCAGAAGAAAGGTCTCAGACAGGACCTATAGAGGATCCAGTTCTCCCCTTCAGTTCCCCCCTCATTTACCCGGATTTATTTAATCCAGTTAAACAACCTAAAAGTAGATAGGAAACTGAAAACGTAAACAATTTACCACAATTGTGTTTTTAAGTTTATGAAGAAAGAGTAGAAAGTAAACAGGAGGTTTTTATAACTTTGTCAGTCAGAAGGAAGCTGTTAATGTTTAAACATGACAGAGGTGCTGCACAAGGCTAAAAGCCATCTCACACTGTTGGCTAAACACAGAGAGGTGATCGATGAGAGAAGCTTGTGCAGGAGCAGCTGCAGGGCACAGAGAGAGAGAGAGACAGGAGAAGTAGATGTTTTGAAGAGTTCAGAGAGAGTACAACTTATATAAAGTTAACTACTAGTCTGAAAAATGTTATATTGTTTTGTGAGTGAACATGAAGTAAAAATATATTTACTAGATATAAGAACAACATGCTTATCTAGGTTAACAGAAAACTGCTATCAACCAGTTTCAGCAGCTACTGTCCTATCTGTGTTCCAAAGAGAACATACGTTGCATTTACAATTCATGTTGAGAAAGTTCACAATTGATACCATTAAAGACCGTTTTGGATTAATAGGGCGTGTCTGTCATAAACATTCGTGCTCAGATGGAATAAAGTGTTGAGATGTTCTCAAGAGTGGGAGTTTTCACAACGCTTTTTAGTTTGTATTGAAACAATTAAGTGATAAGGACAGAAAACTGTTCCGTGATGATTTCTTAAGGTTTTAGCTTTAGTAATGGAGATTACATTTTGTGAGGAAACTTTTCCACCAATAACAAGTGTTCAAAAATATATATTCATTAACTGTATAGCGCTAAATACAGTTAGTTTTGTATTCTGTTACAAATCTAACCTGCTTGTAACACAAGTTAGATAAACAATTTCAAAAAATAATAGAATAGGCAAGTGGTTAAGGAGGTTTTCCTGTTTTGCTCATTTGATTTAGAACTGAAGTAAGGAAGAATAGGATTTTATGAGAACTGTCATTCCTCATGGTTTTTAAAGATAAATCATCAGTTTGTATGGACTTTGATGTAGAAATAGGATCATGGTGGAGAAGGAAGATCTTTTTTGGTTTCAAATTAAAGAAGATTTTAAAGATGAAGTTTATTTTATTTTTTTCTGACTAGAATTTTAGAAGCAGGTACTTAAACTAGACAATAGATTTTACAATGTGGTTTTACTACTTTTAATGGAGTAAATAATCTGGGTAGACTACTGCCATTGGTTTGTTGTAACATTCACATGTTTCAGCATTCCTGACCATATAGACACTCAGCCGTTTTATTTTGTAACCCTTTGGGGGAGAGATTTAAATTGAGTTTTTCTCCAGTTGCTGATTTGCTGTGATTACAGCAGCACTGGATAGTTGTGCGCCACCTTTGGGTTGTACTCTGAATCAGTGTGTTGGTGAAGAGTTGCCCACTACAGAAACAGAAGAACTGTGCAAAGAACGCATCTCTGAGGAGGGTTTGATATTTTGCTTGGGCCTCGTTGCCTAGGCAACAGTGGTGTGAAGAGGAACTGCAGTTTTGGGGATTCCTGCTGTGCAGAGGACAACGTGTGTCTGCTGATTCTACCACATTGATCCAGAGGTTCCTTCCCCCTCAGGACATCCCAGTGCCAAACAAGAGTTTCATTGATCCAATAGACCTATCGCTAAGCCACGCCCCCTTTGAAAACTCGGACAAACAAAGCCGACCGTGAATGACTGTTGACAATGGCCGCGGGGGGAGTTCAAGTTCAATTGTCAGATTTACCACAGCAGGCAATAGACCTGTTTTTTAAAAGATGACACAAATATTTCGTCTAGAAGCAGACAGAGAGGGTTACAGTATGCAGTGGCAAAGTACGTTCATGAGATACACATTTACAGAAAAGAAACCATTAGAATCGAGGCCAAATGCTACCACTCACAACTGAAAAGTGAGAAACCCCACAGGCTCTGTATCAATGTTGCTGATGACAACACCATCATGGAGCAGTGTTGTTCGTGTATTGCAGGGTAAGTAATTTCTAACACATTATTACCTTAGACCTCCATGGTGATGCAAGCATTAGCTATAGATAACGTTAGCTAGCTAGCTACTCTCAAGCATTACTTACAGTACAGTCTTACAGTATACAGAGCTATATACAAGTAGCAGCTAGTACGAGCAGTGTTCTCAAACAGTAGCCTATTTCTTTTCTCCCCTTCTCATTGCTGTTGAAACCATAGGGCACCAGGTTACTGTTCGCACATCATTGGACTCATGTACAGTTTAGACATTTCTCGTGCCCAAAATGAAGACACTGCCTCCTGTACAAGTCGGCCACAGCAGTGGCATAAACCCAGAGGGAAGAAGGTAGCAGGCCAGCCTATATCCTCTGCAGTGGTGGCAAAAGCCAAACTGAACCGCAAACGGAGACCAGTGATCCCCACATACACTCCTAACAGGTAGTTTCAAAGCACAATAAAAACACAGATACATTTGGTAATAAAGGCAAAATGGTGCTCCTTCACAGTTTATTGAAAAAAAATGTTTGCACCGTCATGCAGTTTGATGTGAAAGAATAATAGCCTAGGCACAACATCAGATACATTTCTACAGTGAATAGTTAATACTATGCATAACACAGTTAACAGTAACATGTATATTTCTGCCTTTAGGAGTCAGGAATCTGAGGACATATATGAGACACTGAGAGGAATGAGAGGCACACCTATAAGCTACATCGTTAACCAGACCCCTATACAGGTAGCAGTAGGTGGAAAGAACTACCCCATTGGTTGTGGCTTGAGCTATCAGGTAATGGTATTCTTGAGGATGCAAGGCTGGAAGTTAGACAGCATACTCACAACATACCAGATCTGGTTGATGTTTCTCAACCTTATGTTAGGGATCCTCTCTGACACAATTTTAAATTTCTTTATCTTTGATATAGCACGTTCAACATGTATCCTGTGTTCAGCCACTTTTTTTGTCAGGCAGACATCTGTAGAGGGCATCTGCTTTTTTCCTCTGACGAAGGGTGGGATGTTTATTTCAAGTCCAATTTCTTGTAGGTCATTTTCAATTAAAAATCCTTTATCTACCATAAGACCATCCCCTTCCTGCAGATAGCCATGTTTAAGCAGATTTTTCATTAGCTCAATAAAGTTGCTCTGCCTAACTATTTCTTTGTCAGACATAGATCCAGTGAAAAGAGTTGAACAAAATATTACAGAACCTCGTGGATCACATGCTATGAGGGATTTCAATGTGTTTGCAGACTTGTAGGTTGAGTAGCTTTGGCTCTGCAATACAAGTGAAGATGGGGTTTGAATTTTTAACTCTGTACAGTCTAATATTGCCATCGTTGTAGGAAATTCCTCTCTGTACTTTCCTGGCATGTGTGCCATTATTATGTCTCTATGAGGCCATGCGGGTAGTTCCCCTAGAACTGTGAACATGTAGTCCACCCATGCGTTGAACAAAGTACCAACACTACGTTCATCAATCATAAATCTAAATGCCAAATCTTTTAAATCATGATTTTGTCTCAGTTTCATAAGAACAAGCAAGAGCTGCACACACAGGGGCATTGTGTTAATTTGCCAATCAGTTCTGCTAAATGTCAATGGGACTGAAGTTTGCTGTGCTGTTTCACTGCTAGGTATACTAAACACAGTACATAGATTGTTGAATTGATCATAAGTGAATCCAGTAGCATATTTGAAATAGGCTGGTACACGGCTGTGCTGCAAGACCTCTGGTGTTAATCTATTTGGTACATGATTATCTCTCAGAACAGTATTTATACTCCTCAGTGATTCGATTTGTGCTTGTTGATTTCTCAATCTTTCATCTCGCTCGTCTTGTCCACCTTCCATTGGGGGAGGCTGCTCCACAGGCCGGCGCTCCTCATCTGGAGGCTCCTCCACACCCTGACCTTCTTAGAGAAGAGAGAGGAGTAAGACGGGAGGAGAGAGGGGTGATAGATAAGGAGAGAGGGGTGATGGATAAGGGGAGAGGGAGAGGTGAATGAGGGGAGAAAGGAATGAGGAGAGAGGGATAAGAGGAGACAAATTATTTCAATGTTTTCTCTCGCTGCAGCTCCCACTGTTGCAGCTCCCACAGACCAACCCAGCAACATCCCTGCCTGTATCCTCTTACTGTACCAAGACCATCCCCATGCCCCTCTCTCCAGACATAGCCATACCAACACCACAGCACAAGCAGAGCTTTGATCTGGAGGAAGCAAGAATACTACAACTGCAAACCACGGGACAGGCTGCATGTCCACTGTGGCACAAGGAGCGAGAGGGCAGGCTGACTGCATCAGAATTTGGCACAATAGTAAAGAGAAAGAAAATTTCAGATGCCTTCATACAGTCCACATATTACCCCAAGCCCTTCACTGCTACTGCAACAACCTATGGCTCTGCCAATGAGTCAAAGGCCAAGCAGCTGTACCAGGAGACATTTCCAGATAGGCATGTTCATAGCTCTGGCCTCCTCCTGCAACCAGATCTCCCCTTCCTTGGGGCAACACCAGATGCTATAGTATGTGACAATGGTCAAACAGGCTTGCTTGAGGTGAAATGTCCCTTTGCAGCAAGGGACATGACAGTAGCAGAGGCAGCCACAGCCATAAAAGATTTCTATGTGCGTAAAGACGGAGAAGACATGCACATCTCAGAGAGGCATAACTGTTATTACCAAATTCAAGGGCAACTACTACTTAGCGGACTCGACTTCTGTGACTTTGTACTTTTTACAAGAAGAGATATATATATTGAAAGAGTTCACAGAGATATTCAGTTCATCAATGACATGATTGTAAAGCTGCACACATTCCATGATGCTCACTTTAGTCCAAAGACATAAATCATACCTCTTTCATTGTCACTCATGTCCTGTCTTGGGTTGACCTGTGTCGTCTCTGTGAGGGCAGTAACATCTCCAGCACACCTCATTCTGTGAAAAAAACACAAAAATCTGAGTATTAGCTAAGCATAGACAGATAATAATAATAGTTCATTTATGGAGCATCTTTCATACATAAAATGCAGCTCAAAGTGGATTTTATTGACAACAAACATAACAACATTGACAGATCAACATTTGTATTTGCCTTGTCAGGGATACAGCGAAAAGTCCAGGACTTATTTCCATCGTTGTCCCTGTTGTTACTGGTTTCAAGTGGCACTATGGCACCTGAAGTGCATCGAGCATTCTTAGTGCATAATCTAAAGTGCATGTAGTAGTATTCATGTTTCAGTTTTTTTTTATTATAAAAAAAAGCATCATTCATGCTCATTGGTGCATTAAAAACAATTATTTTCATCAACATGTTATGTTAGCAGTGGTGGTCACTACATTAAATCTATAACTATAACTGTCCTTGTTAGTCATCATTTTCACTGTTATGCACCTGGCTGACTGTAACGTTACCTTTTTTTGGGTGAGGGTCTGTGTCTTTTCGGAGCAGCACACACGAGAGCCCGGATGGGATCTGGATATTCCAGAGTTGGCTTCCCATCTCTGAAGTGCTTTGAGGTGAAAAGACAGTTAGCAAAAGTGAGCTAAAAACACCAGCTAACTAGCGAGGACGAAAAGTCAGACAGCAAACGTTGATGTTGATAACACTGTAGCTAGTTAGCTGGCTAACAAGTTGGCAGCTAACGTTAGCTAGCTGGGCTGGATATACGCTAGCTAGTTGGCAGTCAAAGTCAATCGTTAGCAAACTAATAGTTTGGTCTACGTTTCTAATACATGCCATCAAATATTATGTCTTTATGAATTGACCTTACCTTTGAGCAAACATAAGTGTCCTTGGTAATTTTCTTCACATTCAGTTGTGTATGTGGTCGACGACACAGCATAATCCACCGCTTGCATTTCTCGAGTTTTCTTTTGGGCTTCGGAAAAGGTACGAAATATACTCCACCATCCAGTCTTTCAGGGTACCTGGTGTCCGAATTACAGGTACCCCACGCACAGCGTTTCACCATCAGATATTAGCTAGATAATAAGCTAACTAATGAACTCTTCACAGTGGTTTCGATCACAGACGTCTGGTTTTGGTTTTGATGCGGCTCACAAACGGCTTTTCTGGGGATGTCCGAGTTTTCTGCCAGGAGGGATTTTCGCTGTGATATGATTGGACAAATTCTATTTTGGGGCGTGGTTTAGCGATAGGTCTATTGACTACAGCTGCAGAAGACAACACATCACTGACTGTTCACATTATGACAAGATCTTGAGACAAGCTTGTCTCAGATTGTTCAGACTCTGTATAAATTATGCGATGATTTGACAGCATAACTGTTGTTTAGAGTCGGAGAGTCCGGTGCAATAGTATCAACTTAAATTACTACACTTTTAGGTTTAATTATATATTCTAGGATTTGGGGTAGGTATTTAAGACTTTTAGCCTGTATTTCGCTGATTTGTACTCATCGACTTTTTTCACTAGGTCGTTTTGGTTCTTGTATTTTGACTCTGTAAAAGTATTACTTTTCACAGAGCCCCACGTTGGGCGCCATGTTTAGAGTCGGAGAGGTCCTGATAATTTATTCCGGTAAATTACTCTGACCTACTAATTGACCTGACCGAAGTTATTGAGTCTATGTAAGTTTGCTGCTTGGCTCAGATCCACCAACGTCAGCAAGATCTCACCTCTATTAACTTCCCGAAGAACCCGGTTCAATTAACTGCTGTTTCAATTCAGACAACTCTTTTTTAATCTGTTTAAGGGATCCCGAAGGATTTTGATATCAGTAAATGGAGTGTGCTCCTACCTAAGTGTGTGTGGCAGGGTGCAGTCTTACCTTTGAAGCAGGAGAGGAGAGCACAGGTTGTCTTTTAAGTTATCCCAGTCCAAAAGGTGGGATCAGTTTATTTGAAGAAAAATAGGTCCAAACTAATACAGGGTTTTTACCTTCTCTCTTTACAACATTATAATCATACTAAAAAAAAATGGTGCTGTGATCATTTTCAAATATGAAACTTTAATTCACAGTCTTACATTTATTACCAAAATGTTTAATTTCAACTGCCCAATTCAGTTGTGACATTTTAAAATCTCCCGATAGAATTTAGAGGTATTTCCTCATAAAAAGACCGGTGACAATAAAAAGCGCATTCAACTTTTCATTCACCAAATCAATTCACATCAGTTTCATATCTTTTTTCCGACACAGACGGCGGGTATAACATTCAAAAACCCATTCCTGTCCGCAATAATTCGGAGGAAGATTCCTCACAGGTGGCGGGTTATAATATTCACAAACACATCTCTCATCAAATCATTCCACTCAGCCAACAACCAAGAAATTCGGGAGATATTTACCACGTGTGAGAGGACCTTACCGAGAGCTATTAACCCAGCTCTGAAGCTTTCACTCTCAACCCCTGTCTTTATGCACAAAACCCAGATAGAAAAAATCCCAAAACGCCTCCTCCACACCTAATTTGTGGAAAACTGGGCATGGCTTCTACTGTACAGGGCTGGACATGACCCGACATGTTCCATAGCTTATGGCATAAGACACACCTTCCTATGTTAGTGTAAAAAGGACTTGACCCCTTTTTGAGGCCTCTAATGTGTTTCTCCTTAAGCCTGGAGCCCCCCTCCCTGTGAACTGCTGCCAGAGGAGAGGGAGAAAACGGCCTACTCTCTTATCAGAAACACCCATAACTCTTTTTAGGCTGTACACTCAACTTAACAAACCACTTGGTTTTGTTTATACTGTAACTATAGAAAAACCTAAAATATGAAGTATTTTTCATTGTGGGTTATACAAGAATATAATTGATTATATTTGATTATAACTAACTTTCGTTTTAAGTATTAAACATACTATGAAAACTCACAACACCCTCTTTTCAAAACGCAAAGTTATCAAATAGCAACAGAAAAAAATTGTAAGCATACATATTCAAAAACCGTCAAGAAGCATTCTCATTATGGGTTTATACAAGAATATGATTGATCATATATGATTTATAATTAACTTCCGTTTTTAAGTATTCACTTCATACTATGATCTCAACACTGTGCAAGAGTTTTCCAGAAGGTGGTGTACAACAATAGGTTTAGTGTTTGAGAAGGGAGGCTGATTGTTTAAACGATGGTCTGGAATACTGAAAAGATTAAAGTTTAATATCCTTGTTTGGCAAACAACACTTCTGATTATTAGGTCACACATAATAATCTTGACATATAAACTAACTATGAGTAAAAAGATGAATGGATTTTATATCCTAGAGAGGGTTAGTTATGTTGTGAATACTTCACAAGGTATTTGCTAATGTATTTTGAAGAACAAATAACAAGGACACAAGTCCAATTTTGTTTTGTTTTTAGATTAAATTGTCCATTACCAAAACTGTTCACCTTATGTCTAGATTTGGACTTTGATGGTAAGGGAGTATTTAGGCTTATCTTTATACATCTGACATTTTCAAATATGTTGGCTATTCACTAGATAGACATTGGTTAAGAACTTTTCTGCAGATTGAATATTTGTTCCATTTCTAAATATTCCTATTTAAAAAGTAATTTTAGAGTAAAGAAGGCTGATGCTGAAATTGGAAATAATGTGGGGCCTTCAATCACCCATTGTAATGGTGCATATTATTGACGACCAATAGGGAGGAGGGGTCACTAGACCCACCCTGCAGTGGTTTTTAAAATTTTACTTGCAGCTTCACAGGAAGCACACGGCACCAGATTATGAGTTTGGAAGACTAGCGTCACCACCTCCTAATGGACATTAATTTAGTTAGTAATTAACTGACATTTAGAGATGTTAAAGAGTAAAAACATACCTACCATAAGTGATAATTCCTAAATTAAGCTACAAACCATTGATGAAATGACTTCTGTTTTTAGAATCCTTGATAAAGGAAGGAGTGATTGTTACATATTCGGACACCCAAGGTTCCACGCACTGTTAAAGAGGTTAACATTGTTCTTTAAGTGGACCAGATTTGAAGATAAATGAATATGAGTTATGAAATACATAGCAGAGCTTTACAGGTCCTAGTAATGGTTTGACTTAAGATAATAATTATATGCACAAGTTTCTGAAATACATCTATTAGACATTTTAATATGGATTAGGTGTTGATAAACTGCAGTAGTAGTACAATAAGGAAGTGACATTTTTTGGCTAAACACTTTTCAGGGAATGTGGGAAACAGCTGTTCCGATGAAAAGTTAGAGATATCTTGAACATTATGGTTGTAATTGTGAATTAATAAATGATGGCGCTCCATATATACATATTTTTGTAGACAAAGGATACTGGCCTATGCTGAAATGTCAAAGTCTCTGCAGAGCACGACACATGGCCAACAAAGACTGAGACCAACTGACCTTTGACCCTGACCGACAGTGTAACTTGACAAGGCACTGTGAATGACTGACTCTGGGGTGTACCTGACCAAACTTGACTTTACAACCTGACAGTGTGAGTGTGAATGTGAGTGTATGTCTGCATGTGATCAGTGCAACTGCATGATTTAAAACAATGACTAATCAAGCATGTTTTTGGACTAACACATTTTTCTGGGGCTCAATAAAATTCCACAGAATTGTAAAACCGCACTTGTGCACTCCCACAGGAGGTGGCAGTTTGCAGAATGTGGAACTCAAACTAAAACATGAAGATTCTGTTTCTTTTAGGACTGAAGGATGGAGAGAAACACTTCATTTCACTGAAGTGTTTACTGTGGAAATGATGGATGTACATTTGGGAAAAAATGTTTGGTATTTTCTTATAATCCATTATTACCTGAAGGTTTTCTTCCCATATAGGATTTTGGTTACACATGAGTCATGTGTAAAAAGGGGGAGTGTACTGCTGCCCCAACTCGATTGTTCAATCTGACCATTGATTGACAGTTTTAGAATTGACCTGCTCCATATCTGGGGATATGATACTGTTTGATGGATGTTGACATGTTTCTAATATTGATTGAGTTATAGCAGGTAACACAGATGCAGAATCAGTGGCTAAGGGGCTACTGTGAGAGATGTAATTCCAGAATGGAATACTGAAGAAGTTGACCTGTGAGTAATGTTTCAACAGGTATTAAAGTAACTGAGGTTTGAAATGTAGAAAGAACATATTACAGTTAAAGCTAAAACATAGTAATGTAATGAGACAGAATTTAATTTAGACAACATCATGTAACTAGCCTGGTAAAGAAGTAAAAGCCATAGACTTTATTGTTTAGGTCATTATGGGGATATACATTTCATCTAAATTTATAATAGAAAGACATTTGATGACAGTTTGTTGGAATTCTGTATTCATTTTTTCAGCGTGATAATATCTAAGCACTGATAGGTAGAAGCAGTATCACCAGGAAATCATTCACTTTGTTAGTATCGTGATTTTGGTTGTTTTTGAATCCATAACATTAGTGTGTTTCTTTACCAGAAACATTAGCAGTTCATATTATATTTAGA